GACATCGAGACGGAGGGACAGACGCTGCCGGCCCTGCGGAGAGACAGCCCTGAGCCGCGCACGGGCACACAAAGGCGCGGAGCCCGGCCGCACACGCGTGCACACGGGCACAAAGACACAGAGACACACGCACACAGAGACACACGCAGCTGTGCATTGCACACGCACAGGCCACCCGTTCGGACCATGGGACTCCCACGCGGCTCCCCCCGGCCCCTTTCAGCCCCCTGTCCTCAGCCTGAGTGTTGCAAGGCTGGAGATTCCTCGGGGTGATGCATCGAGGGTGAAGCTACGCCCCGCGAACAGCTTTGTCCTTAGGTCTGATGGGATTTTTGTCCATCTGCCAACGGGGGTCTGTGCCCCCTTGTCCTCAGAGCCCGGCACCACAAGCCCTGATGAGGGAGAAGGGCTCTGGGAGAGATGCTGGAGGTTGTTCAGCTGTGGGGAGCTTCCCCTGCCCGGATCTGGCTGGGGAGTGGCGGCTGTGGTTTGTTTTCTGCATATTTCTGTATGAGGAGTTCTAGCTGTTGGACATCCATTTGCTGCTGTAGAAGCACAGAGGCTGTGCTTGCTGTGTCCTTCTGTGAGACCTGCTGGCTTGCCCAGTCGCCTGCTGTGGGGCCTCCACCGGTGGTGCGGTGATGTGCTGCTACAAAAGCTCTTTTTTGGGTAATAAAACCAAAACAAACCCACAGGAGCCAAAAAACAAACCCACAGGAGCACTGGCCTGAGCTGAGATGGGGTTCAGGCTTTGAAGCCAACACAAACGTCCTCAGTTTCACCACCGGGGTTTCCAGAGCCACCCCCACCTGTGGTGCCTGGCCCTGGATACTCCTCCGCACCAAGGGAGGGGTGCTTCTTGGGGTGGAGCGATGCAGCTCTTTGCTCTTTCAGTCCCGAGCTGTTCTGGTTTGTGACCCCTTCTCTGCCACCTTTCCTCCAATCAGGGATGGGGCTTGGCACGGGGACACTTTGGAGGCCCTCAGCACAGGAGCAGCCCACCCAAGGAAGACAGCAAGTGGTTGCGGTCTGACCCACACAGCCGGTATGGCATGTCACACCCTGCTGCTGGTGCACCTGCTGGGGCCGGGGGTGCTGCTGCAGGGAGGGCTGGTGGGGACGGGTCATCCTGCATGGAGATGGGGAAAGAGGAGAGGGTGCTCAAACAGAGGTCCCAGAGCCCTTGGGGGTCTGAAAACACCTTTTTTATCCTGCCGTATACCCTGTAATAGAGAGTGAACTTAATGCCTCGCAGGCACAGAGGCAAATTTATTTAGTGTGCCCCATAAAAGAAACAGGAAAGTAGGTCACTCGTGGGATACGAAATGAAGCAGCAGCGTTGTCGTCCTCAGAGAAGGGAGGTGTCTCGGTGGTGGGACACTGGTGACGACGTCACCTGCACAGCAGCAAGGAACCAGCCCCCCATTTGCAGGGGCGCTTGCTGGGTTGGACACTGTCCTGCAGCACTGGTTGCTGGAGCTGGCGCTGCCTTTCCCCATGACAGGCTTGGGGCAGGATCAGACCTCTCCTGGTGAGATGTTCCTCACCAAAAGCCAACTTCTTCCCCCTCTCTTCCTCTCCTCCTCGGCAGGGTGATGAAGCTGAATGAGCGGAGCGTGGCCCACTATGCCACCTGCGACTCGCCAGCCGACCATGCCGGCTTCCTCCGCAAGCGCGTGGAGCGGCACCACCCCCACGGCCACCACCCCACCTCCTACCAGCGTCGCTGGTTCGTCCTCAAGGGCAACCTCCTCTTCTACTTTGAGGAGCGGGAGAGCCGGGAGCCTGTGGGGC